TTTTTTTTTTTTCGTTTACTCTTTGGCCCTATGCTTCAGTGTAGGGTCTCTGGTTGCATTGGCACCGCGACTACTCTACATACTCTCTGCACCGCATCCAGCCCCCGGGTTCAGCCCAGAAAGGGGGAGCGGGGACTGGCGTCTGAGGGGAATACTAAATTTCTGTCTAAGACTCATACTAGCTGCAACTTCATTTTATGAATTTCCTGTGCTAAGAGTTATGAGTGTCCTGTGTAAACTAGCTTAGACAATTCTTTACGGAATTCAATGCAATATTTATTTTGGGGGAATTTATTTTCACATCATGTTAGGTTTGTTGGTTCAAAATGGACATTTGATGAGTCATTGGTGAAAAAGTTGGACGTTCTGCAATAAAATCCCTCTCTGTCCATTTGCTGCGTGTAATGCTCTTTCGACAGAACTTGCAGTTATTTCTAGTTGTTCTACGAGCGTCGTTGTGAATACCAGTGTATGTGTGGAAGAGCACTCACTGTTGCAATATATACTAGGACACAGACATTTGCGCTACAACAGCACATACTATCACGCATTATTCATAACATTGACAATTTTCGAAAATTCAGAAAGTTCATAAAAATTGCACGTGAACCGAGGGGTCTAGCCGCAAGGCTCTCTAATCGATAAAATAAAAATAAAATCTTTCAAGGTGGTTTCGAGAATTTTTTCTACTCCCATTTCGTAATTATGTAATTCAATGACTTCAACCCGTTGCATAAGATACTAATTACGATACAGATTTTATTATGATACAGGTTCTTAGCCTATCACAGAGAGGTTTATAAACCAAGTATTGACATTATTCTCTGAATCGTTTCAAGAAAGATTTCGTCCAATTGTGTAAATTAGCAATGCACTTAATGCTATGTTATACTTGTCAGTTTTAATTTCTTTTATTGTCAGTATTTGTAGGTGGAAAATTATGTAAAATAAATTGGATTTGTAATTTCACTTTGATCCTATACGACTAGTGCAGTGGTAAATAAATCCCACCTTTAGCAAGGTAAGATAGGGGGCTGGCATTTAGGTGCCCTTGCCTGAACCCTGCATATCAACTGTCTCGAAACGATTCAATAAAAAAGTTTAACTAACAAAAGTTTCGATAAGTCGTAGAAAAAGTACCGTATGAAACCCTATGTAATGGGTATTAATACACTCGTGTGACGAGTACAATAGTCGCTCGTTCCGTAATATCACGCTCGTGTTTTAATACCCATTATACATCATGGATTCATAATGTACTATTTTAAAATTGCCTTCATTTCATGCCAAATTACGAGAAAACTACCCGTGAATTTAAAAAAAATGTGCAGGGTGTTATTTAAAGCTGAAGTTGTGAATGTATTGCTGAGGACGCTGAACCAGTGAGCGGAAGTCGTCGGGCGGTGCGGTCGCGGCCGTGGCCCACCCGCCCCCGCCCCGGCCCGCCGCCCGCCCGCCCCCGGGGCCCCCCGCCCCGCCCCCGCCAACCCCGCGCCACCGCCGCCGCCGCGCTGCAGCTCCAGGACGCCGCGATTGTCCGTCGTCCAAGGCGAGGCCGTTTGCTGCTGGCGCTCGCTCCGAAGCGCCTCCTGCGCATGCGCAGCGACAAACGCACTCGTTTGCGATTCGGTTTTTTTTTTTTTTTTAATTTGACAAAACAAAATTAGAGATTTTCCTGATAAATATCTTAAGAGCTCTATTGGGTCTAACCTTGAGGGACAGAGTTCCAAACTAAGACATATGGTCAATGTTAAGTATTGATTAATGACATTAAAAATTATCAACATAAATGGTTCCAATATGTAAACAGGATGGAGCCAAATAGACTACCAAAGTTAGCTCTCTTATACAACCATAAGGACTACAGATATGTAACTAGACTTAAAATGACGTGGTCAGAGCAGTTATGAGCCTCAGAACGGGATGTTGATTCCCAAATCTTGTCAAGGAAGAAGAAAAAGAAGAAGAATTTTTTTTTTTGCAAAATTTATTTTTTTATATTTGCTGAGGCTTTGAAACATTGCTTAGATGATTGGGAGAACATTAGCATAAATTGCGACGAGAATATTTATCCATCGCCTTCTGTGATCTCATCAGACGAGACATTTCTGAAAAAAGCAACACATAATTGACAAAGATTATTACTTGCCGTAACAATCAATGGGCATTGAAGAGATTGCCATGGTTACCTCTAGACGAAAATAAACGTTCTCCTTACGAATTTAAGGCTTGCTGCTTATGCAGGCCTCTTTCCTGCCGCGTTTTTAAGTCTGAGGTCACGGAGACTGCGGTAATATGGTGGAAATTGCTTGCCAACGTACCGAATCAAACTTTCCATCAAATACACGTTTCAGTTAGCTTATCGGCTGAAAGAATTCGCGTAATTTTTGGCCTAATTCTCGAAGGCGGGAAGTTTAAAATGTTGAAATCGTTTCTTCTTAAATGCCTTCAAAGAGCGAAACTGATATGTTCGAAGAGAGGCGCCAAATTTAAATTAATTTGGCCGCCCATTACCAACAAATTGATTAGTGATCCCGGGCGCGTCAACTGGGAAGGTCATTTGTCCCATAAGTTTCATCGTAGGAAGTCACGAAGATCTTTCTCCGCCGCTGGATGGCGAAATCCACCGCCGACCCACATCGGCGGGATTTTCCTCAACCAGGTATCGCCCATAGCGTGGCACTCCCCCCCAGCCGGGACACGCTCGACGCTCCCGACTGGTTTCCTGACAAGGGTGGTAGTGTTGAGCGTGTACGTGTGTGTAAGTAAGGGGTCAGGACATCGACTGCTATCACTGCAGTGGCGCTAACCGAGAGGCAACGACGGTGACAGGATTTTCGACACTAGCTTGTCAGCTAGATCGTATTCAGTCGCTATCGGGAGGATAACGCTAGCGGCCAGCTGCTCTGATCGGTAGTTTTCCATAGTTTCCCCTATCAACACCAAACGAATGCCGGAGCCATATCCGAACACAAGGACCACGCGCGATCTTTCCTTCCTCTTTCTTGTCCTATCTTCACCTCGTTCTTACACTTACGTACACGCGCTGCACTACCACACATGACATGAGACCAGTTTAAATTTGTCCCGGCTGAAGCTGTGATCCGGTGATGGGAGAAACCTGATTGAAGGAAAACGCCGCTAGCCGACATTTAGGTGAGGGCCGGATACCGCCATTCAGATGGGGAAGATCACCGCCACCTCCCACAATAAAATGAACCACTACGCTTACGGGACCAACGACCGTAGAAGTTGTCTCGCCCGGAATCAGAACAAGACAAGTCAATCGCAATTGACACGACGCGCAGAGAGCTACAGGGTGGTGCGCCTTACGCTGGTGGCGTGCAGCTCCTGCTGCTTGTCGGCCATGCGGCGGTCCAGGTGGTCCACCAGGTGCTGCAGGCGCGCCCGCTCCGCGCTGCGCCCGTTGAGCACCACACGCAGCATGGCGGCGCGCGCCTGCGCACGACACACCGGGCATGAACAGCAAAACAAAAAAAATTCAAAAATGTGAAAAAATCAGATGAAGCGAGCTTGAATCAATTATAAATAATCATTTGGGGTTCGTAAAACCCCCACTCCTGACACCATTGTCGCGAGTTGTACGGGGAGAGGGAGGACCCCCACCAACTCGTGCAGGAAAAAAAGAGAGTATCTTTTTAAATAAGTTTATTGACTCACCCGCGTAGTGGACCCTACGCCCTGGGAGCGGGTGGCGTGACGACGGCTGCCTTCGGCAGGTTGACGCGTAATAAGAGGGGCGAGGTGCGAAGTCCTCGCCATTTTATAGCCTCGGAACGCTGGCGTCGGCAAATGACAACTGGTCACTTGCCGACGGCAGCGTGTCGCGAGGGCCGGAATGCCATATCGCGACACACGGCTTCTCTTCGATAACTGTTATGGGAATAACGGTCGGTTCGTAATGACGGTTATTAATATCAGTCAGTGGCCGCTGGTACGGAATTCTATTGGTGGTGACAGTGAATGAAGTGAGATCGATAACAAAACATCGATGTTCAAAGTTATAACATCGATGTTAATAAAACATCGATCAGAAACCATCAATGCGATGTTTCAAAACTGGTTTAGTAATTTGTAAAATAAAATTCGTGAACAACAAAATTTAATTTTATAGTTACCATATTTATTACGTTGTAATGAAGATTAAACTGAAAACAAACTAAAAATAATAAAACTAGTAAAAGTACTCAGCCTGAAAGCCTGAAAACCCACACTAATCTCAAGAGGCTACAGAGTTCCTGAGTTCGCCGAGGAAGGGTACGGGGAGATGAAGGGAAGCCATACGCCCACGGCATTCGCCGCTTCTTGCCGTGTTCGAAACACACGGAAAGACGTATGAAATACCAGGGCATCGGGGTCATCCTGAGAGAGAGAGGGAGAGAGAGAGAGAGAGAGAGAGAGAGACAAAGAGAGACAAAGAGAGAGAGAAAGAGAGAGAAAGAGAGGAAGAGAGAGAAAGTTACTACCTATAACTTTGTTATAGGTAGTCTCCAACTATATGTTCAGTGGCAAAACGTGAACATTTTGCGAGAGTGTGAACAACAATGGCGTGTGTCTATGTGTATGTGTGTGTGTGTGAAAGAGAGAGAGAAAGAGAGAGAAAGAGAGAGAAAGAGAGAGAAAGAGAGAGAGAGAGAAAGAGAGGAAGAGAGAGAAAGAGAGGAAGAGAGAGAAAGAGAGAGAGTGTGTGTCTGCTTCGTGAAGATGGTGCCATTAGCGTACTCTATCGAACAGATGGTGAACTACTGTGCCACTTCGGAACTGGCACCGTCTCGTCCACAGGAGACGCTTATAAACCAAAACAGCTTTCTTCATACATGGGCATAGACGGCGCCAATCAGTAGAGAGGCGGCTCAGAGGTTCGGGAAGAGGCCGAAATATAGCATCACGCTCTGTGTGTTTGAAGAGAGTATTGACAGAGCATCGAAGGACTAAGCGCTCGTTGAAACGAATTACTAAAGAGAAAAAAAAATGGGAAACGATATTTTATACAGATATTTGTGGTGAATATTTAATTTTTCTTCCTTTTTGTTGGTGGCGCCATGCCACACTGGCACTACCCTACAAGCCGCCACTGATATCAGTTGAAAAATTACACGTCTATGTTCAGCAACCTAACATGGCCCACTAACAAGAGTTAAATCAGTTGTGATTACTGCTAAGAGTTCGCTGGTCCGTTTAGTTCGACTCTTTTATTAGAGATTTTTTTTGATGACTCTAAGGATTCTGAGTTTAAATATCGCATGGGGAAGTTTGGATATAATCGAAAAAATTGATAAAATGAAATTAGAAATAGCATATCTATAACTCAGATTTAAATATTTACCACAGTAGTATTTGTAATAATCTTTGTTGTAGCCTAATTACAACATCAAACATATATTAAAGTTGTTTGGTATATTCTGATTTCCTTAACCCTTCAGTGGTCGCACGCAATACAGGAACGCGAGTGGTCGCGTGGATTACAATTGTAAAAATGGTATCTAAAACACTGAACACTTTAAAAAATACTATTAACTTTATTAGAATTCTATGAAACGCTACAGAAAAATGCATGAATTATGTCTTTAAACATATATACTTAAATATATGCGAGAATTTTTTTTATTTTTGAAAGGTCTTTTGTTCTTTATGTTTTGTGCATTTGATATACATTGCTTTACGATTATTAAATAAAGCAGTTCGACATAATTATTGTCGTTGAAATGTTTCGACGTCAACATCAGATGAACATCTCACAGACTTTCTTTCTGTGCCACACCCACTGGACGCTGTACTGTCGAGTGCTCTTGTTTTGTTGAAGTCCACAGAGACAACAACCTTCCGCCCAAGTTGCCACTCGGGGACACTGCTGAACCCTCGTTCTCTTCTCGTATTCCCAGTAGAAATATCCCATTTGTTCCTACTACTGTCCGATTTGCTCTCGATCGTCCTTTTCATTTCTGGTTTCATGAAGGATGGTGCACGATCCTTTAGAAATCCCCTTCCAGTCAAACTTTCTCCACGTTTGTTCTTCGCATAAACACTCAGGAGTATTTATTGAAGCGATATTCACGACGCCAACTTAGGTCTGAAATTGAACAGCGAGTGATCACGCGGGCTACTTTTGTAATCCAAGCTGTTTCCGGGCATATCGCTCGCGAATCAGTTATCACTCGAGTCATATTTCGCTATAATTCAATAGCTGGGGCCTTCTATGGTCAGTGCTGAAAAGTCCATGCCAAACGTTTGTCAACCCTCGCTGTATGAATTAAAGAAGAATGACTAAGGTTGGATTACAGTAGTAATCCACGCGACCCCTGAAGAGTTGAGATTAATTTTCGCCTAGTCTGTTAAATTTAATTTACTGGTACCTACGTGAAATGGGGAGTGAGTGAATTTATTAATTTATGTACGGTGACGATTTGTCATATCTTTTAGGTTGTTTTTCATCCAACTGCGAAAATGAAGGAGGAGTACGTTCTTGACCTTGAAATTGGAGAGCTTCTCACGGCCCTAATAACTTTTCAACCAAATAACGTTCTGCACGTGTGTTTTACACTAGTGTATAACTTTTATTAAAAATTAGTATTTTCATTACACTTTTTGGTGCATTACATTAGAAAAGAAAGATAGCATAAAAATATTACAAAGTCGAAATATTTAAAATTACGGTTCTTTTTTCTAAGAAAATAAATGTTATTAATAAACCAGTAAGACATGTTCTATACTGCAAGCACGCATTACGCATTAATTACACGTCCGATTTAGATAAACATCGTCTTTTCCTTGTAACATTCGCATAATATTCAGAATACGTACTTACCCGGTCCTCGCGAGCTCGCGTGGCAGAACTCACATTTCCTCGGTTTTTAGCTCGAAGTCGCGCGCTCTCTCTTTCATCGCTAAAAACAAAACATTCAAATAAAGAGTTATGTTTATTTTATATATTACATATCTGTTATTACTCGCGCAACGTTTCTTGAACGAAAGATTGAAGAAATGCTGGTAGAGTGGGGGTGGGGGGGTATTAGTTATGAAATCGGCCACTAGATTTTATGAAGCAAAACCAATCTCTGAAGAATCTGTCACGCCTTCGCAACTTTCTCAGTAGTTCTGCGTATCTCCTGTGATGGATCTTCACCTGCTTCGGACATTTCTATAGATTTTTTTAAGAAAATCATGGACAGTTTTCACCAGAAAATTGTTTATATATTACGCGCCAGTGAAGATGGGTGTGGAATGTTGTCATCAGTGCTCGCTGCGAGCTTTGCCTTCAACTGTTTATTGTGCAAGGTCATCGTTGAAGAAACGTTGCGCGATTAACACCTGTACGACTTTTAGGAAATCGGTGTTTTCCGAAAAGTCAGACGATTCGCGAACTCGAGATCGCTATGGCAGTAGTGCCGTGGCGGACTCGGACAGAAGGATCGCGGGTTCGAATCCCGCCTTGGGCATGGTTAAGTGTGTTTCGTGATTGTATGTCTTAAATATGTGTAATGTGCTGTAAAATCTCCTAAAATCATCGGCAAATCAGTGTAAAACTGGAATGTGTAGAAAAGTTAAAAAAACATGAGCCCGCCCTCATTAGCGCTGTCCGTAGAATAACACGTTTTATGCATAAATAACAGCAACATTTGAAGCTGAGATATTTTGGCACAACTTTGTACTATTTTTGCCTTATTTTGCATTTTTAGTGCAAATAATTAAGCACATTACATTTCAAACACATTAATATTTTAATTTCATTTCACCATCATTTTTAATAATACTTATTAATATTGACAATTCTAGCACATTACATTTCAATTATGTTGCTGCTTTTCACTCCTATATTCCTGTTCACATAGCTATGTGCCGAAGTAAAAGTGAGTCTCAGGTAGAGACTGCCAAATAAATGGTGTAAGGGATGTCGACTTGCTTACCGTAAGTACCTGAGGTAGCATAAGTACCTCATAACCGACAAATTGGGACGCCATGGTAGGCCCTAATCTCACAAGGCCATTGTCAGAGTACACACACACACACTTCATTACTTCAAGTTTGATTTCAATGTTAACAAATAATTTAACAGACGATTATACATCAATATCGTTTGTAATTTTCTTATTACAGTATGTATGATATATTTTAGACGTGTAGAAGGCCAAAATACATTTCTACTATTACTGATCATCATAGGAAGTAAGCTTTAAAATCTTACTGATATTTGTCACGCAAAGCGTTAGCCCTAGTAGAGCATTATAACATTTTTACATTTTGATTTATATAAATTGTATTGTGCATTGTGTATGACTACAAAACGTAAATAATACAACGAATCAAAATATGTGGTATTTCCACAGTAACTGCAGAGCACTAAAATAGTAATGTATCTAAAGGCCAGATTGTCATAACATTTAAAACTTTGTTAAAAGTCATAATGAAATAGGAGGCTTACATCTCTCGCGAACAACCACTAAGGTCTTTCAGAACCTTTTCTTTCTCTGCCAGAACGCCTTGAAGATGCGCTGCCACAGATTTTGACTGAAAACATAAGAATATATCACTGAAATAGAAATATTCTTAACGTATAATGTGTGAATTTGAATTTTAAAGTGTAATATACGAAATTTGTTTTCAGTTTACAGTTTGCAGCTTGAAATACAGTTTCATTTGAGAAACTAATGTTGACACTGTCCAAGCCTGATAGTCTTCTCCAGAAGAAACTTGATAACTATTGTTTTATCTGTGAATGACAGGTATCATTAGTACTATTTAGTCTTTTAATACTAAATTAATTAAGCCAAATTAAGCAATGAGACATAAGAAATCGAAATTAATTTTATTGTGAATAGCTTCCCCTTTAATTCGTCTCATTTATGTAAATAGTTTTGTTGAATATTTTGCAGAAATTTAAGAATATTTTAATTTATATCATATTATGATCTTGAATGAACAGTGGAGTTGAGAAAAAATTATTAAACTCTACTATATTATCTGTTAATGACCATTATCGTAATTATCTTTTAGGTAGATTCAATTCCCCACTGATGTTTGAATTTCGCTTGTAACTCTCATGCGATTTTTTTTCACACTCGGCCAAAAATACTAGAGGACATTCCAATATGGAGGACGACCTTATTTGGTCCGCGCACAATTATTTACTCCGGCACTTGGTTAAACTGGGAACTTGATTAAACGGTGAAAATGTAACACATTCAGTAAAAACATTGATGTGTGTAACAGTTTTGTGATGGAATATTATCATTCCAAAAAAACAAATTCCGATCGAAAACAAAGCTATTTAAAAATGTCCAAAATATCGCACTTGCATGTCTGATGAAACACAGCGATACACTTATTCTTCCATTCTAATCGTCAATTAGATTATAAACTTGTTTGATTTCACATTGAAGCAATCGCTGCCACATTAAAATCGCCACGTCTCATAAAAATAGGTACAAAAGTATAAGCGAAAGGCAAAGAAAAGAAGAAGAGGAAAAAAGTAGGGTGATGGAATAAAAAAGGAGAAGAGACAATTTAGAGATGTGGCGTCTGTTTCCATTGATGCGAGTTTGTTGGAGACTGCTGAGTTCGCTAATTGGACGCCTAAATATGGGCGGGGAATATTAACGGGTCATTCTGGTTTTAAAACACAAATAGTAGCGACTTCAAGATTTTGGAGTTTTGCAAAATTTTACTCCAGCAAAAGTTTAATTAAAGTACTCCAGCAAAAGTTAATCGGTGGTTCTCAAACAAGGAACAAGATATCCGCAGAAATGAAAAACGTAACACTTTCTTACTGATTCTGGTTAGATGAATTCATAAATAATATAGTACATCATTTTTGTTTGAATTAAAGTGTTCGTATTTAAATTATCTCAAGAGAGAGGCCAACGGAGAGCTACTCTTGGTGAGTGGCAATATAGCTGCAGCTGAATTTATGGCCGATCAAGCTATTGCGATTCACGTATGCATATGCTGTTGCGGGAACATTGAACATTCAGTAAAATCGTAACATGAAATGAAAGTTGTAGAGAAAGTTGAAAAGAAGAATGTGTGCGAATAAGAAATGAAAGAGGCACGCCAAGTATACTAGATACGGTGAAGGGAATCCGACATGCTCGCTACATATCTACCCTACCCCCAGGTGAGGACAAAATTTAAAAACAGGACGCAGGCCTGTTGGGAACACCACTGGCAAAAATAGGATGAATAAGCATATGTAGGTGTTTATTATCTGACCCCAAAATGCCAAATACATATATATGTTTATTTACTTATTTTAATATTTTTATTATTTATTTACTGATTTTGGTTTTGCATTATTTGTTTTTTTTTTTATTATTTACAGTCGACAGAATTTACAATGAACACTGAATATCGGTTGTAGTGAACGTACGAATTACCTGGAAATTAATTCCCTTCTGGAAAAAAATATCGCCTCAGAGCCACAAATTCCGAAGTTAAGCTGCTTCAAAAAAAACGTCATAATCCAAGAAGTCTCCCCTGAGGTGGAGATAGCGCAGCCATAAAGTTTCATTGAGCGATCAGTTCAATTAGCAGCTTGCGCCATGCCGCTACCGAAAGGATCTCGTGATATCAGGCGGTTAAAAGGGCCTTGGAAAGTGTCACGGTGTTCCAGCAGAACAAGAGGCATTGAAAAGTGTTAAGACTGCGTTACCATACTTAGAGATAGCGGACAAGGCAAAACCAAGAACGGAGAAAGCACAAAATGAAGAAGGATCTAGAGAAATTACAAATAAAAAATGTACGAAGCAAACTATTAAAAATCTTTCTTTTTTTAAAGTGAAATAACTATATTCAAATTTTCATTTGTTGTTAATGTATTTTGCTGTATCTTTGTATTAATAAAAATAATCACCGTGGAGACATTCAATTTAATTTTGGCATCATCGTATAGAGTGAACCAAAAGTGTTAGTCGCCAGATATTCTCTATAACCGAAGCCAACTTTATTTATTTATGTACTAGTGTATATGTGTATTTGTTTATTGATGTATTTATTTATGTATGTATTTACTAATGTATGTATGTATTTATATATGTATGTATTTATGAATATATGAATGTATTTATGTATGAACGTGTTTATTTATGTGTGTGTTTATTCATTTGTTTATTTTTATCTTTTGCTCACCCTGACCAGCTGCTGCTGTAGCATGCGTCGCTCCTGAGCGAAGTTCTCAGAGATGAGCTCCAGCTTCCTCTCGCGGTTGCGCACTTGCGTCTCGGCGGCGTTCACTTGTTCGGTGACAGCTTGCGCCTGCGCGTTTGTAACAGGCCCATTAGAGTCTTTAAATTATATTTGCATTGCATACGTGGAACCAAATCATCAACGCTTGCACGCACACACAGATAATCAATATTGAATTCAGTAGGAGTGAAACCGCTTTATTAGAATAGCTTCAAAGTCAATGAATCATAATTTTCTCATCCTGTAGTTTTCTGTCTCATTTTCCTGCCTGTCTCAGTCTTTCTCATGCCGACGACTTCACACTCATTAAGCTCGTTTTTTCATTCATTTTTCAAGGTTCCACACATTGTTTCTCTGTCCCTCAATCTTTGTCTCTAAGGCTCTCAGCTTTTCTCAATATTGAGGGAATGCAAAATACCTTACGGTATCTCTGTATTCGAAAATCAAAACATTAATGCCGTATAATAAGTGAAATATAAGAAATTGCACAAAGACACAAATTAAAATGAGTGTTCGAGAATGCAAGGCTTCAGAAAATGCAAATATTATATGGATTAAATACATTTTGGACAATTAATTTTTTTTCGAACACAGAGCGTATTAATAACATGAGACATTGTTGATTTGAGACAAGAGACACTAAATGTATTTTGTGTGGGTGACAAGAGCGCATCGATTCAAAGTAATAACGATCAAACAAGTGAACTGGTTAAGACAGATCGTAGGTGGAAACGAACACTTTTGAATAGAACCATGTTGGATTTTGTAGCGTGAGGATCGATAGCCGTCAGGGCGTGATGTAAAAATATTTTGTTGTTCGTGTGAGATAGAAAATATACATGTGGTCCGCGGTTATCAGAGAGTATGGAAGGAAATTAACTATAACTGATTAGCGATAAAATAGTAATATTCATGGAATATTCAGGTCGCGAATGGTAGCAAAACGTAAAAGCTAAATTCAGTGTGGTAATATGAAGAGCTCCAACATGGAATTATGGAATAGTCGCTGATCTCGTCACAACGCCAAGACTGCTGGAATAATCTTAGCAAAGGAAAGTTTATACAATAAGTGAAAAAGGGACTTGGAAACATCACATGGTTTTCCTTGATATAGCAAAGGCGTGTGATAGTGTGCCAGTAATAAATGTATGGGAAGTTACGAATAAAAGTATTGTAAATTGTAACGGTACAAGCTCATGCGTAGGGGAAATTTCCATGAGAAAAAAAGGAAAAAAATAGATTACGCCCGCGACACAGCTGCGAGAAAGGGGGTCGTAGGTATTCGCTCCCGTTCGTCTATTGAAGCGAGGGTTCTATAAAAGTTTATGGCAGGACACCCCCGCGCCAAATGTCAAGTGGGTGCCTATTCAAGCGTCCGCTTATAAAATGAACCCCAACGCTGAGTGCGCCTTCTCGGGAGAAGAATTTACAACCAAACGGTCAGCGGCGCACGGGCGGGTGCGAAGAAAACAGGCCGATAGTTTTTTACAACAGCAACGGACATTCTGGCCGTTTAAGAAAGAGTTCCCGTGTGATTGGTCAGACACACGCCTCCACCCTGCTCCCGGAAATTCAATCCCGCGAATCGGGAGGATACACGTTTTTGGAGGGGGGGTTACCGAGGCTTGATGTTACTAGGCCGCCGCTCGGTAAGCACTGTGTGGCTGGAGACGGCCGCGAGTGGTCGATGAGACTTGACCTAATAACTCGGCCACGAGAAGTCACTCGATGTCTTGACTCGGCCATGAGAAACCAATTGATTTCAATCTCGATTCGATAGTTCGGTCACGATTATTCACTTCGCTTGCTCAGTTAATCAAGTAGCATTCGAAGCATATTGCGGAGGGAAGTTGTTTGGCTTCCATTCATCGCCGATGATCACCGTGGCTGCCTGTGGTTGGTGACGCTGATTGGAGTAGTGGGCCCCGCGGGAAGCGCGGCGACATCAAACGACCACGCTGGGAGCCCCTGTGTTCACCGCCTCTGCCTGGAAGGGGGCAGCCCGAACTGGAACAGGGTCGACTACACCACCGGGCTTGCCATGAGGCCCGCCTTAAGAAAACGAGGGTAAATAATCCGGTTAGCTCCCGCATAAATGCGGTCGAACACTTGCTGAGCGAAGCGAGAGCGGAAAGAGGGTGTCTTCAGCACGAGTAGCCATGACGACCCATTGTTTTTCATTGTATTAATTAAAAGAGATGACCATGTCCTCATAAAAGAAAGGGTCGTTTTCTTTTTTATTTATTAATAATTGTAATATAATTGTAATTCATCATCATCATCAATTTTTTTTAGTAAATGTTTGTCAATGCAAATGTTTTGACGATTATTATTGAAATTCCCATTCCTGTTCCAGACAGACACACGAGGGGGTTACAAAATACAATCTTAATAAATGCGGCGGAGAAATTATTGAAAAGAGATGACCCAAACATTTCCTATATCAAAAGGACTACGGCAAGGATGCTGTTTGTCACCTACCCTCTTTAAAACGTATGTTAATGCAGGTATGGAAAAGAAAATATGGTGGGATGGGAATACCACTTGATGATAATACAACACACTATACCCTACAGTTTGATGATCATGTGCTGATGTCGCAAGAACAAGAAGATATTGAATACATGACTAGGAAGATAATAGAAGATTATTAGAAATGGGGACTAAGCCTCAATCTAGAAAAAACAGTATACTGGACTCTAGGCAGTACACATGACGTATTGACTATGGAAATGGGATACATAATAAGAACAACAGAGGACATAAAGTTCTTGAGAACAACAATAGGACAACAGGGTTTTTATGGAAAGGAATGTGAAACCCGACTAATTAACAGAAGAAAAATTTTAGGAGCCCTAAATGCAGTTATCTGGGATCCAAATATAAGCAGGAAAACGAAAATTAAAATGTATAAATGTATTATTGAAAGTGTTACATTGTATGGAACAGAAATATAGCAGCTTCCAGAACAAGAGAAAAGAAAATTGAGAGCTTTGAAAATGGATTTCCTCAGAAGAGCTGCAGCAATATCTAGAAGGGAAAGAATTAGGAATGAACAGTTTAAGGAAATAATGAATCTGAAACATGATAGAGGAAAATGAAAAGAAAGAACTCACTTGGTTTGGACATGTACAGCGAATGGACGAGAAAAGACTCCCGAGAAGATCCTTAGAATGGTAACCAAGTAAAAGGAGAAAACGAGGCAGACCAAGACCAGGATGGAACGACCAGATCAGAAAGATAATCGAGAATTGGAAATTACCTCCTGATTCCTGGAAGAACCAGGAAGACTGGAGAAGAAGATTGGGCGCTGCAGCGCGCTGGAAGGCCGAAGTAGCGGTTAAGAAAACGGCGAGAAGAAGAAGAAGATGATGAAGAAGAAAACGAAGAAAGGACTTGAAAAGGACATGAGGGAAAATATAGTGGATTTGATTATAAGAGAGATTGTGATATAAAATATATTGTGATAAACTTATAGAGAGAATACGATCCACAATAATGGTATGTCCATCGCGGGGCAAAAATATATCGGGATTTTATAAGAAAGAATAAGACCTCCTACAATATATCTATGTAATTCTCTTGTGTCTCGGTCTCTTCGAACGATGTCTCTTGAGGTACATGTTTCTCTTTAAGTACATCACGCGTACCTCCTCTTCTTCTCTCCCACACACTTCCAAACACATAATTTCTTCCCGGTGATTTCTTGCAGACAATACGCCCCCATCCACCTAACTATGAATGCATCTGCGTGCCTGCTCTATCTATCTCTCTCTTTCTCTCTCTCTTTCTCTCTCTCTCTTTCTCTCTCTCTTTCTCTCTCTCTCTTTCTCTCTCTCTTTCTCTCTCTCTTTCTCTCTCTCTCTTTCACACACACACATATACACTTAGACACACGCCATTGTTGTTCACACTCTCGCAAAATGCTCACGTTTTGCCACTGAACATATAGTTGGAGACTACCTATAACAAAGTTATAGGCATCCATGGAGACTTTTTAGGCATTCCGAATCACCAACAGGTGTTCGTCAGATCACGTTCGGTCACAGTCAAGGGTATTTCATGTACTTTCCAAACATTTGTGCATACGGGATTGCCTGAAAATCAGCGACAAATCTAACGCCTTTAAATGCACATAAGTGTTTTATACAATTTCCCATTGTATGTTAATAGACAAAATGCACCCCCACGACATTCTATAGACGTTTGCAAAACGTATTTTCAGACACTCTGAATATCCATTTATCACACCTTTCCCTTCTTTAATTCATCACCTCAAGTACTCTTCTTCTTACACACAAGCTTTTCTCTCTCCTTTCACGTCTTTTACACACCCAGACGCACTTTCTTGGTCTCTTCACACCCACAAACATACACACACTCATTCCATTTCCCTCTTTCTGTAACCCCGGTTCTTCCACATACTCTCATCCGCACACATGAACACTCCCCCTCCCCCACAAGAAAACTGTTCACCTGCACGTACACTCATTCACCAACTCACACCATGCCATAAAAACACAAAAACCATTCAACACACAACACAATATACAACTCATTCAATAATGTTCACGCTACAGCACAAGAAGCCACCATCCTTTCCAGCCACGAATACAAAATACACCGACCCACCCACACCGCACTCCTGGGCAGCAACAACACATTCCTCATTCCCCTACACATATTTGAACACACACATATATTTCAACACACTCCCACACACTCAACACAACCACATCCGTAGCCAGACTGGGAGAGATGGCTCACGGCATCAACTGATGTCACTGCAGTCCCTCTGACCGGGAGGTCCTAGGTTGGAGCCCCAACTGCGGCAGGATTTTCGACACTAGTTAGGAAGCTAGGTCGAATTCACTCACTGTCTGGAAGGGGATTCTAGCGGCCGGCTGCTCTGATCGGTAGTTTTCCGTGGTTTTCTCTGATCAACAACAGGCGAATGCCGGAGCAGAACCCTAACAGACCGCGCGCAATCTTTCTTCCTCTTCCTTGCCCTATCCTCATCCCTTACTTACAGACGCAGTAACATGCCCTACACTATCACGCAGGCCGGGAGATCGGTGGGAAGCTTAGAGCGTGGCCCGGCTGGAGCACTGCGCCGGTGGTGATAGATGCCTGTGGTTGTGGAAAACCACGCTAGAAAACGGTAGCCCGGCGCTGGGTCTCGCCGCACTACCACATCAAAACATGCACTACACTTAACGAACTAAATACCATGGTAGATGACGCGCCCGGAATCACTAACAGCGTATTACTCGCGCCCGTTTTCTTGATACACGAGCTCCCTACTCCTCGCCCTGCGCTGAATAGCACGGCACGTTGAGATACTCAGGTTCGATTCGGAACGGCACGTACCAATTTACACTGCTGACAACAATCATCTCGAAACTTTTAAAACTATCGTAGCATTTCACGTGCCACGCTTCGGCGAGTGGGTTAAGTTCATGCCCACAGAGCCCTCCTCTCCCCCCCCCCGCTGTGGAATATCAAGAAACCGTGCCCGTGTAGTACACATCCACACACACACACACACACAGAGAGATGCGCAGAGTGCGGCGTCACCAGCTGCTTGTCGTGCTGCGCCTTGGCCAGCAGTTGCGCCACGCGCTCGCGCAGGGCGTGGCCGTTGGCCTCCAGCGCCACGTTGTGCGCGCGGTGCAGTCCCCTGCCAGTCCGCCGGCCTCCGCCGCCGAGCTGCGCGGCCTCCCGACGCCCGCGCCTTCCGCCGCCGCGCGACCGCTCCACCGGCCGCGCCGCCACCACCGCCCCCGCGCCACCTGCACGCCCTCCAGCCCGCGGTCGGGCACGCTCAGCAGCGTGCCTGCAGCCATGAGAACCACCATCACCAGAGCACACTTGGTTGATTCGAGTTTTTCACTCCCTCAGCACCGGCCCCTTCTCAGCAGTTCTCAGCAAGGCGTGCCTGCAGCCATGAGAAACCACATACATCAGGAGCAAACTTGTTGCATTCGAGTTTTCTACATCTGTCAGACCCCCTTCTCAGGCATCTTCAGCAGCGTGCTGCAGCCATGAAACCACCATCACCAGAGCACACTTGGTTGATTCGAGTTTCTACACTCCCTCAGCACCCGGCCCCTTCTCAGGCACGCTCAGCAGAGTGCCTGGACCCATAAGAACTACCATTACCCACGCTGTTGATTCGTTGATTGTTACGAGTTTCCACCCTCCCTCTGCACGTGGCCCCTCGTCCGACACGCTCAGCAGAGTGCCTGGACTCATGAGAACGACCATCACCAGAGCACACTTGGTCGATTCGTCGATTGTTTCGAGTTTCTACACTTCCTCAGCAACCGGCCCCTTCTCAGACACGCTCAGCAGAGTGCCTGGACCCATAAGAACTACCATTACCAGAGCACACACTGTTGATTCATTGATTGTTTCGAGTTTCTGCTCTCCCTCTGTACTTGGCCCCTCGTCAGGCACGCTCAGCACGTTGAGCCATAATCACTTTCATCACCAGTGCACACTTAATTGATTCATTGATTTGAAATATTTTGTTTCGTGTTTCCGTGCGCCACGCTTTAGGCATCCCCAGAAAGGTGCCTAGCGATATAGTATAACTACCATCACCAGAGCACATTCCGTTGATTGATTGTTTCGTGTTTGCGGGGTCTCCGCCACCGCGCCCGCATCAGAAAGGCTCAGGCGAGTGCCTGGTGGCAGATACGGACTATCATCACCACATAACTCTTAGTTGTATCATTGATTAGTTCGTGTTTTTGGGTGGACCGCTCCCGCCCAGAAATACGCGTCAGGATTACTGGAGTCTTTTCCGGACTATCATCACCAGGTTGATTCATTGATTCCTGTTTTGGGACGCTCCACCCCCTCGTCCGTGTCATGCAGTTCACCAGGATCTCTGGCAACAGATCTGGACTATCATCACCGGAACGCACCTGATTTCATTGATTATTTCGTGTTTTAGGGCATCCTTACTCCGCACCTGTCCCCGCATCAAACACGCTCTAGTGTCTGGCTTCATGGTTCAACAGAACACTCCGACCTGCTTCATTGTCACGATTAAGCAGAGTGAATCGGCAACAGAGTATATGTCCATGTGTTTCATTGATGTCAGAGCACACTTCGAGGCGTATCGACACGAAATTACACTTCAGCAGTTTGCACTGCCACCATTGCTCAAATCTACAAGTTTCGTCAACACCGGAAGGATGATTGTTAGATCTCGCCGGCATCGGCGAACAAATCAACCGGGTTAATCGACCCCAGAGTATAAGTTGGACGTTTTTTCGCCGTCCAACCCGGTCAGCGGTGTGCCTGGCGACGGATCGGTACAGAGCACACACCGAGAGCCTTCATCGCCACCACAGCACACTTCAACAGAGTTAATCGGCACCAGAGCACACGGGCATGAGAGTTAATGTCACCCAAGCACACCTCATTAGGTTTCTTCCACACAATTCCAGACATCAAAATGATTGCATTGGCACCCAAACACAAGTCGTTAGGTTTCATCAATATTACAGGGATGGTCCTCCCGGTTTATTGTTACAAGATTCCATGTCCACAGGATTTATTGACGCAAGAACAGACTTCACCAGGTCACATCAGTAACAAAGCGCATTTCAATACGTTTATTGGACAACGCAGTTCAAGTCGTCGTCGTTCTTTGTCGTCAGGTCAAATAACCAGCTATGACACATCGATGCTTTAATTTGGATCATCGATGATCAGGAACGCTTACTTATGCTGGGGATTGGTGGGGACACCTCCCTCGGGGTCACCGCCACCTGGGTCACCGGCCGCAGGAGCTGCTCGTCCTCTGTCGAGCTGGATTCCTTCAGCTGCTGCCTCATCTGCATGCACTCTGGACAGTAGAACGGGATAGCTCGATAAAGCACACTTGTGGTGCTACAATGTCACATACTTTCTCGCAGTATTTCTTACCTAAGTAATTCACGAAAATTCTGAGAACTCAATGAAAATGAGACCTGTGTGCGTCTTACGCATCCTTTGTTCTAGACGTGCACAAATAGGCAAGAGATTTTTTATATTTTGCGTTTGTTTTTATCTGAAATTACGCGATAACTACTCATTTTTCGTACAACTGTACTTCATTTTTTAATATCTGATTTTTAAAAGATATGTTATTGAAGACAAGCTTCTTTATCCCCAAATTTGTAGTTTTGTAATATTAAATGTTTGCAAATTTTGAAATACATAAGTTCGCTGGAAACGGAAGTAATACTACTTTTTTCGGAATTTTGATACATATGAAGAGAAAATTTAGAGAAATCCTTTGAAGCCGTTTTTGAGAAAATAAGTATTTAAAAATTGTATAAATTTCATGCAGTATTTCGCGAACACTACTCATATTTTAGAATATGAACAATTTATTGATTAAGGAAATGTCTACGTTCATTATTGCAGCTATAGAAAGATGTCGAAACAATTTTGAATTTTGCAGCTGTCGAAAAGTCAAGAAGTTCAACAAAAATGTGTCCTACGCCATTCTTTTAAGCTATCTAAAGATTACTGAAGGTATACGAGGACAAACTTTAATCCAAAAATAGTCCATAAAATATACCATGATATATAATACCATTAAAATAAAAATGTGGTTCCCAACAACGCAACGTGTTAGAGAAAGTAATTTATTACATAATAAAGCAAGAAAACTAGCTCTTACACTATCATTGAGCCACACAACTAGTTTTTCTGTGGAAAATATATTTGACGCATCATTACAATACTTTCTCTATACTACGTATATCGCTGCAAATACATCGTTGTGGGTTTGATGTATCACCCAAGTATAATTGCGCCCATGTTTGCGGGTTGACACGTAATCGAAACCGTTTTTAAGAGTGAAAAAATCTTTCGTACGCATTTCTTCGGAGAGGAAGTAAAGCCGGCTGCCCCATGTAGTGTAAACACGCATGTAAAAGATCCTCAGGCCTAAAAGAATCCTCTGAACGAAATTCAAATCGCCTTTATCGTCGCCCGAGTTGATAACTTCTTTCTCAGCTAGATGGTGAACGGGCCGTGGTAGCGTGGTCAGACGGAAGAGCGAGCCTGTTGGCCCGAGCCTTGCCATGTAAAATAAGACATTAACTAACTAGTATTAGTGATTCAATACAAATAATTGGCCCGCAAGTGGTGTGAAGGTGTGGTGCCTCCGTCGCAGGTAACCGGGGCGACTAGCGCCTCGCTCTTCCTCCTCTACTTCGCACCTTGCCGCAGCTGCTGCAGCTGCTCCTGCATCTCCGACGCCCTCTGCGCCAGCGTCGCCGTCTGCTCCGACCGCCCCTTCCACCCGCCCGACGCCGCCAGCGCCGTCGCCGCCGCCGCCTCACCCACCTCCGCCGCCAACACCTGCCGGCCAGCGCACCTCTCAACGCAACAGCGACGAACTGTACAGATGTCTCAGAGTAAACAAACTTTCAGGGCGTGAAGGGGTGAAGATGACTGTGGTGAATGAAATTGGGTTTATTCTCAAACAACAGAGAATCTTTGGAAAATGTCGAGGCGAGGTAATCAGCTGCCTGAGTATAAAACAACTTCGAGAGCGAAACTCATGATGAGGGATGAAATTACCTTTATTCTCAAACAATTGAATGTTTGCTAAGCGATTAGAATAAACAAACTTCGAGGTCGTGTGGGGGCGAAGATGATGATGAATTAAATTGCCCTTATTTAGAAACAGAGAAAATTTAGAAAATGTCGAACTAGTCAGCTGTCTTAGAATAAACCAACTTTGAGAGTGAAGTTGATGATAGTGGATGAAGTTGCCTTTATTCTCAAACAACAGAGAATGTTTGCTCTGCGACGAACTATATAGGATGACTTAGAATAAAAATAATATTATAAAGTTCTAGGATGTACAAGGGAACATGATAATGATGAAGAAAATTATCTTTATTCTCAAACAACAGAATATTTGCTATGCGGCGAGCTGTGCAGAATGTCTTTGAATAAAATAGTATTACATACATTGTGACACATCACAACATCATGGCGTTTAGCTGCGGCAGAGACTTGGGAGATTTGAATGCCCGGGCGACTGCCGCCGTTGTGGTGAACCACAGCTCTATCTGTACTTTTCGTGATTTTCAAAGAGAAAGGAGTGACAAAGTTTTGCTGTAAAAAATGCACGCGAGGGAACGCTCTCTTTTTGTTAGTGGAGTTGGTGGTAACCCCGGGAGGCGGTGTGAAGCGAAGACGCTCTGAACAGGCCCATAGCGGAAGGAAACATTTCTTCTTCTTTGTCTTGTCCTCACCCCCTACTTACACGCACTTTACTACTCAACCACACATGTCGGAAGAGCAGTCGGGGGTCTTAGAACCTCGTCCCAGCTTGGGCGGTGGGATGGGAGATATCTGGTTGGGGAAAACGTCGCAAGTCGACGTGTAGGTCGGCGCCGGATTTCGCCATTCAGCTGGGAAGATAAGCGCCACCTTCAGCGATAAAAATTATGCTCTACACTTTAGAGTAATGACCTTAGTAGTTGACGCACCAAGAAACCCTATCAATCAATCAATCAATCGGACCTGCTGTCGTGAATGACGTTTAGCAGGAGCTCCCAATCACCAGCGAATGCAAAGCGGCAAGCGATTGGTTGATTGAAAGTCATCTTCGCAGCTCTGAAAGTCAGGTCTGGCTCGATAAATCGTGTGTGCTATCATCTTGCGAAATTCTTAGCGTATTCCCGCCAAATAAAAATAATGAAGCGCTCTAATGGTGACAACTTTCAATACACACTGCTACGGGCGTCGGGCTGGCGCTGTGAAGGGAAGGGATTCCTACTACTACAGCGACGATAGTAGCGTTGATTGATTGATTGATGTTTTCAAGCAAGTAATCTGCTAAAGTTAATAGTCCGAGTGGCTGTGCAGTGAATGTTTTATCGCGAGAACAGGCGGCTTTCCTTCGCGATGAATGGTGAGATCTAGCGCTGAGCAACAAGTTTTCATGCGAGGATCAACGTGTAGGAACTACATATGATTTTACTTTTATACCTCATGAAGTCACACAAGTCTATTTAACCTGCAAACACGGTAATTAAGTACCGAAACACTAGTGCATGTTTTGAGATGTGATAAAATAAATCAGGTAACATATTTATAGAGTGATTAAACTTTGCCTTCGAACCTCTTTCAATTGAGCTGTGTAGCGGTAAGATAATTGTGATATTGTGTTCTTGCAAAATCTGAAATATATTCCCGTCAGCGGGCATGTCTCATGGTGATATAACGTTTGGTACTCACGGCTGAGGACAACGAAAGACAAATTTCATCAAGACAAAATCATACCAACACGATCACCAGAACGAAATGACGAAAGTACTGTTGTGATCTTGGCTCTCAACGTGTTACATTCTGTATCTTATTCATATATCATTACGTGGCAACACTCAGCATTTTAATGCGGATAATACATTTTATCGTAAAGCAATACGACTTACTCTTTCAGTGAAAAATTATACTTGATAATTTCAAAACACGTAAATATTTAAATTTCTTCTATATAATCAGCTTCGAAGGAGATTTTGATACGCCCTGTTCAGTGTCATCTGAACTGAACTGCTGATTACACCATAGTGCGATGTCAATTCATCGCGTTAAAAGAACGAAATCAGACGGCAGATCAGAATTGTATTAGGATCAGTTATTATTTGTTTAGCGTTCGGGATTGTTCTCGGGGAGTCCGTGCATAGGCAGCCGAGGTTTCGCTTCAGGCTTCCTTGGAAACCTACCTCCGACGCGGGTCTGGGGACCTTTATCGAGCACGCGCACCTCGCGGGCGGTCCCTTAAATGCGCCTGTTATTTGACTCATACTTTCTCCGCCAGATGTTGGTCACTGTTACCTATATTTGAGGACCTTTATCGAGCACGCGCACCTCGCGGGCGGTCCCTTAAATGCGCCTGTGATTTGACTTATACTTTCTCCGTCAGATGTTGGTCTCATTTACCTACATTTGAGCTATTTGGTCGGGAAAAGTGAGATCTCGTTAGAGTGGTATTGTCGGAGGGATTTAATTTTGCCGGCCATCCACTAGGGTTCTTTAACACGCCACTAGAGTGACACGGCTACTGTGGAGATTCCACCGTTCGAATATCCACGCATCTCGGCGGAGATCGAACCCGCGCACGGCGGATTCATAGACCACTTAGACAACCTTTCACCGACAGAGTCGGCTTTCAGAATCAGTTCTCATTGGCTTCTGCACTGAAAACAACATGAATTATTCACACATGCAACATGGATATATGAATAAATGTGTGTGTGTGTGGTTGAACGAATGAACGAGCGAAGAAACCAACGAATGCTTGAGCTACTGAATGAGTGAAACAAGATGAATGATTGAGTGAGTGAATGACTGAACGAGTGATTAGGTGAATGAAAGACGGAACGCGGAGCACCTTCTTGGCGAGCATGAGGTCGTGGCGCAGCTGCATGTTTTGGCTGCGCAGGTCGACGAGTCGCTGCGTGGTGCGGTGTAGCTGCTCGTTCACACGCTCTAGCGTCTCCCCGGCGGAGGCGGGGGGGGGCGGCGGCGGCGAGGCGGCGGCGGGGGGCGGCGGAGACGCCTAAGAGCGTAGTGAACGAGCAGCTACACCGCACCACCGCAAGCGACTCGTTCGAACCTGCGCAGCCAAAACATGCAAGCCGCGCCACGACCTTCATGCTCGCCAAGAAGTTGCTCGCGTTCCGTCCTTTCATTCACCTAATCACTCGTTCAGTCATTTCACTACTCAATCATTCATCTTGTTTCAACCTCATTCAGTAAGCTCAAAGCATTCGTTGGTTTCTTCGCCTCGTCATTCGTCAAACCATCACACACACACATTTATCATATATCCATGTTGCATGTGTGATAATTCATGTTGTTTTCAGTGCAAAGCAATGAGAACTGATTCTGAAAGCGACGACTCTGCGGTGAAAGGTTGTCTAAGTGGTCTTAATCCGCCGTGCGCGGGTTCGATCTCCGCAGATGCGTGCGATATTCGAACGGTGGAATCTCCACAGTAGCCGTGTCACTCTAGTGGCGTTTAAAAGAACCCTAGTGGAGTGGCCGGCAAAATAATTCCCTCCGACAATAACCACTCTAACGAATCTCACTTTTCCCGACCAAATAGCGTCAATGTAGGTAAATGAGACCAACACTACGAATAGTAGCGCTTAGGGACCGGCAAGGCCTGCTCGAAGGGTTCAAGATTAGTAACAACACCACACGGGGAATATGATCAACAGGCGATTTTAAGGGACCCGCGAGGGCGGCGTAGCCGTAAGGTCCATATAGGTACGCCCGGCAAAAGTATAGTAATAAGGCTTAGACCGCCGGAGGTCCCATAAATATACGGTTACATTGACCAACGATCTGGCGGAGAAAGTATTATCAAACCACATGGCGTCATTTAAGGGACCGCCCGCAGGTGCGCGTGACTCGAAAAGGCCCTCAAAGTATAGGTAACAGTGACCAAACATTGGCGGAGAAAGTATGATCAAACTACAGGCCGATTTAAGGACCGCCGCGAATGGTGCGCGTGCTCGATAAAGTCCAGATCCGCGTCGGAGGTAGGGTTTCCAAGAAGCCTGAAGCGGAAACCTCGCTGCCTATGCACAGACTCCACCGAGACAATCCCGAACGGCTAAACAAATATAACTGATCCTAATACAATTCTGATCTGCCCGTCTGATTTCGTTCATTTACGCGAGAGATTACATCGTCACTATGGTGTAATCAGCAGTCAGTTCAGATGAACACTGGAGCAGGGCGATCAAAATCCTCTCGAAGCTGATTATATACAGAGAAATTTAAATATTTACGTGTTTTAAATTATCAAGTATAATTTTTCACTGAAGAGTAAGTCGTATTGGCCTTTA